CATACTCGCAAATTTACTCAGAAATCAGACGTGTATTCTTTTGGTATTATTATGTATTTGATGGCTTCTGGTGAGCCTCCGTTTAGAGACAGAGAATTCGATAGAGATTTGGTATGTGATATTATGGGCGGACTACGACCATCGATGCCTTATTCAACACCAAAGGAATACAGGGAACTTGCTGAGCGGTGTTGTGATGCTGATCCTGATAAGCGTCCTGATGTAGAGACACTTTGGGATGATATTGATTATCTTTCTCTTAGACAGGACGCCAGGTTCTATGCGTATTATTATAACGACGTAAAACCCTTATCACGTTTCGAAAAGGAGAGTAAATACTCTAGTAAGCTCTTACCTACTGGAGATTTGCCTATACCAAAAAACAATTATGAGAATGTCAATTGAATTGAGTTTCAGATATAAGACAAGCGGGGATAGGGCAATACGCTGGTAAAAGAACCCATATTTAGTTATCTTGACGTCAGATTACGGTCGACGTAAACTCGAAAGTAATAAATATTTAAATTATTGTCAAATGAATTATTAATAAATAACTTGCCTTTATCTCCGAGATACTTTTTTTTCGTCATATCTCACAAACGTTATAATATTGCATAATTTTGTTGATACAGTAACTTCCTGTTCCCGTCCATTATGGACTGTGTGATGTTTCATGTTAATTCCTGATAATGGTTTACCCACCAGCGGCTTCAGAAAGATGTAGTAGAATAAAACTAAATACTGATAGCCCCATTTATTTAAAGAAGTAATTAATTTCTTCATTTTTTTTTTTCCAATTTTTTTAGAGTATTCAAAAAATTGAAACAAACGTTCAAAGCCCAGTTTGATAGTGGTGCGTAAATTGGTTTGGCTTTGCTCTCTCCGTAAAATTATTTTCACGTTAATTTTGTAATTCTATTCTTTATCTAATGTTTGTGCAAATATACAATTACAGAATTATGATTATAAATAGTCATGTGATTTTAGTCATATTTGCACATGTCGCAGCAGCTTCCCAAATATAACAATGTTCTGTATAGTATATTTGTTTTTCTCTGCTTATTTTTTGCGGCAAAAAAATGTTATTTTCCCAATCATAATCATATCGATGTATTTTTTATTCAACCATTGATTAAAACCGGTTTTATTATTTTTGCGTTATTACCGACATCCCCTCCCATTTTAGTCAAGTAGAACGATGTCAATGATACAACTTAGAGATACTTTTTCCAAAGTCGATGTTTAACTAAAGAAATTTGCTATAAATGTTTTCGAAAGGTTTATGGCAACCTTGCATTCTAAATATGTTGATAAACACAAACATTAGGGCTCATTTGTAGCAGAAATATTTGCAATATTATAGTATTTGTGACTATCCCGAAGACAAACGTTTTTGACAAGCTTATTTTACTTGCGTGATATTTATTGCTTTTGACTTATATGAAATATATTTCCAATCTAATTATACTTATAACATGCGTTGCCGTTGTAAGGATAACAATAAATTAGAGACTAGCGTAACGTTGAAACCGTTATAATGTTCGCAAGACTTATTACGGTTGATATACGAAAAATGGTGATTCATTCGGTTTATTATATTTATATATAAAGTAAGAGTTTCCGACATGCGCTTTGCACAAATTATAGTGTAACTAGTAAATGCCCATTAAAGACTCTGGGTCTGATTGTATTTCGCTTGTCAAAGTCAATGTTTTCAAAAACTACTTGTTTTATTATACGTTTAGGTAATCAATAAACTCTTAAGTGCTAAATTTTAATCTATAATAATTAAAACCCTCTTCAATATCTATTTCTTTATCGTTGTATATTATATTAAATCTTCGACAACAAATATTTTCCGCTAATTTGTAAACAGAAAAATGTTCCAGTCTTAATTAATACAGTCACGAGAGAGACAAAGGCCCCCCAAATATTATACAAAATATTGGATTATTACAAGTTATAAATAAATTGTTACAAGTTTACATGTCAGTATTTATCCGATTCGCATCATTATCGTCATCATCAGAGAGATTACCATTTGCAACATGGTTTCACAAACGCAGTAACAAGACTGCTGACTGTCTGACTCTAAAACGCGATTGGCAAATGACGACGCCTATTGTTTATTATTACGTACTGCCTGAGAACGAGACATGTAGTGTGAATGTTGTCCAGGTACTACTATCCAAAGTATAACAGAGCTTTTCCATTTGCGAAGTTTGACAAATTAAATATAAAATTGCTCTTATTCGACATCTATTTGGTATTTCCCGTAACAATAATACAGTAGTCATTGCACTTAGCTGATACCTAAATTTGGTATAATTATATCCACAATATATTGGAATATTGAAAAATATCAATGACTTGAGAATTTTACTATTTAATATACTTTAGGATATATTGTTACAGGAAAAGTTTTGTGACAACACATTGATTTTTATTTGCTAAAAATTGCGGAGTACATGTTACTCTTTATTATTATTTTTCTACTGCTTCATTATTACCTTTAGATTTAATTTTTGCTTCTATAAAGTTACGAATATAACATTGAACATACGCTGTTGAAGTTGCCAACAAGTCACCTGGTATCTTATCAGAAAAGTAAGATACGTTTCTAGTTAAAGACAGTGCTAATATACAAACGCAAGTTTTTACAAAATAGAAATTAATTGGCCATATTAACAAAATTAATATTGTTTGCAAAATGCCTGGCGTATAAAAACTAATCGCAACAGTTATCATATTTTGTTCAAAAGGGGAGAAAATTAGCGTAAAAGATAACAAGATTGCAAACAATACAATAAATAATAAGCCAATTGAAACAGTCATATGATTCTTCACCAAGTAAACAATCCAGAATATTGGAATTACTAGAACGGGGATTCCTATCAAAGAATTAGTAAGATTTTTCATAAAATTACTAAGCCGAATATCTTCTTCAACTGTACTAAGTCGCTTCCATTGCTTTATTGCCCTCAGTGCAAAACCTATATGTATCCACATGTTTACAATTGAAAATATTTTTACAGCCTTCGAATCGTTATAGACAAACGACACGATTAGTGGAATGCCCCAAATGACTGTATTATACAATACATCGTCCAGCAGTGGTAAAAGTATGTTTCTTATCGACCCAGGTTTGTCCGAGACTTTCAATAGCACGACAAAAGTAATTGGAAAAAATGTGTTAATAATTGCGTCGTATAAATCTTCATAGGACGTATACGAGTCATCGACAATGGACGCCGTTGTGAGCGGGATGAGTGAAAAGAAAACAAAATAACAAAATAGAAAGTACGAGGCTCTCGTAATTGTCTGTTTAGCACACTTGTGTTTAATCTCCATTTCAGAATTTGAGATGCTTAGAATATTACCAATAAATTTGATAAAATAGAGAGCGCAAGTTGGTAATTGCAGAACAAGTTTATTCAGTTAGATCTTGTTTATATTTCAAGCATATTTATAAGCTTCTGTTCTCACAATTCTGACCAATTATTTGTTACCATATTTTTGGACTAAAATACCATTTTGAAGTGCATGCATGGTATCGCTAAATTGATACACAAGATGCTTTGTAAAGTAAAATGATGTAGTGGGATTGTAAATTTGCTTTCTTCATGGAATGACGATGATCGTGATAACAAAACAACTACCATTAACTATTCTCTAGCTAGAGTTAATAATACCTTGCGAACATTTTTTTTCCCATATTCCCCAAATAAAAAATTTGTTGCGCATGCATATAGACAATTTTTAATATGCATATGTACAACGTAACACATGAAGACGATTTGCATACCTATTATAATCCGTCCGATTAAAGTACCAATGGTATAATAAAGTTCCTCCTAGACATACAGCATTTGCTAAACACGCTTTTTGTACTATATTATCGTACCTACTTACAACATTTCTTCGATAAGAGATGCAAGAATGCTTGGCAATGCCTGCTCATGTTTCAATCAAAGATCTGCGAAACGTATAATACGCTTTAATAAATTTGGATATAGATAACCCAAACGTCTACATGTTAATGCGTAACGAAATTTCAATTATTACATACACAAGCCATGGCTAAATTTGTAATGCTATGCATGGACAATGAAAGTTTAGGAATAATCGAAGACTTTCGAGTATACATTGTATTTTAGCTCTGGTTAGAATACTCCTTGTCAAAAAAAACTTTTATACGGGTTGATATCGAGCGTAGGCGTATGATTGACCAATCACCGATTCATGTATTGGTATCTGTACTACTCGGTCTATTGAGTTTGCGAAATCTATATCTCATGCGTTTCGGGAATTGAAAAAAAAAGGTATCAATTGCGAATAATTCGGTTTTCCGAGTATCGGGGATTCGAACATTGTGAATGTGTGGATGCATGTGATCATAGGATCTACGAAACGCACTCTTGTGAAAACGTTGTAACAAAAAGTTATTGGCGGCGTTGTATGTTAATATCGTATCGCACTGAAATTCAGTTACTGAAAAAGCTGTTAATAAGGCAAATAGGTACGGGAGCTTCTACGTTTTGAACATTTTCTTCGTGATGCTTATTACGGTCGGTCGAATAAAAGACAACCCAACGTTTTACGTATTAATTCGTAACAGGAATGTAACTCAATACAAGCACAAGTTTGCAAGAAAATCAAACTGATAAATTGTTTGTTAATATTTCCAAAGTTGTGACCCAAAGAACAATTGTGAAATGTCTTCATAGATGACAATCCAATGGACGCTGATATGATTTACCCGTATAATTTTATTAGGGTACTTCTGATCATGGAACATCTATGCGCTAGATTGATTAACTCACAGTTGCAAAGTGTTATTTTTAATCCCTTCATTTTACCAATTATAGATTCTGCCAGGTAGAAATCTTGTACATTAACGTTATTATAATTGTAAAGTATAACATCCTCCTCTTTACCTCACGTTGTCCTTTCAGAATAAAGTGGATAAAAAAAAGGTATTTGTAACTAGAAAAAAAACACTATTCAGAAGGTTCATCATCGAATTGACGATGCTCCTGGATCAAAGCACAACATCCACACCACAAATGAGTGCAAGCATCTTCGACAATATCACCCTAATGAAACGAAACAGAAATATTAACAAACGAATCTATTACAATAATTTAAAATGACATGCACACAAAAAACTTACGTTGATTCCTTGTTGCCCACGAATTTCGCCACGTGTTACAGTCGCAAGACAACAGTCAAAGCCTGTGTACACTGCAGCACAGTAGCACAAACAATTTGTACGGAAATCCATGTTGCTGTTCATTTTTTCTTTGGTTTCGGCCTATAAAAATAAAGTTAGAGCAATGAGAAAATCGGATGGTTTCCATTCCATGCGATGATACATTTCAACTTACATATGTGAGACAAGGCAAAAAGCAGGTTTTGATACAGAGTCCGGGGACAGCGAAGCAGTCGAATAGATCAGCTTTCCAACGTCCTTGACGACTAGTGACAACAACTCGTGATTGCTCTTGGGGTATACTCATCGCGGGCTGCGGTTCATATTGTGGGGGTTGCGACAGACCTTCTTTTGTTTCTTTTGTTTCTGGGTATGAGTCCATGTTATAAAGATATCAATGACGATGATAAAAGTAGAGCTCTTTTTTGTTGGAGATGTGAGAAAGAGTAGTTGAGCCGAGCGCTTTCTTTTTTAAAACTCCCCCATCTTTTATATCCAAGAAGGTAAATGACAGTGTGTTGCATGCAGTAGTACAAATCAGAGTTTAAAGGCCATGAATGAGATGAAATTATGGTTCATGCAATGCGAAAGAATAATATAGGGAATGGGCGGAATGGTTCTACCGTTATGATGACAGCCTCTCGTTCGGGAACTGAAAATCAATGATGAAAGTTAAATGCGTAAGATTGTCCATTGTGTCCAACACAAGGTGGATTTCGTGCGTGTGTATTAGCACACACAGATGTCCACTGTCTGTGGTAAGACGATCGAGTCATTAGTATTATATTAGGGCTGAAAGAACGGTAACACATGTGTGACATTTTATATTATTATTCGGTACCTCGGTCCGTGAAAATTTTGTAATCCCAGTTTCTCACGTGAATATTAGATAGACCGCTGGTCCGCTTTTCTCCGCGACTATTCTATAGAAAGAAGAACAATGGCACAATATGCTAACATCGGCTTGTCTCTATTTGACAAAAAGTTTGAACACAGCCCAAAGCGAAAAACTTGGTATCACCAACAATGACGCTTGATTGCGTTGCAAATATGCAGAGTTATAATAGCCAGCGAATCCCTTTAATGACTGTCGTAAAAGACTTGTTACCGTATTTGAGACTTGTCAGACAATTTATACTAGCATAGAATTTTTAACACAAGAACTACTACATCTTTTTAGGGTGATAGAGTTGCAGTAATTGGAAAAGTGCTCGTCACACTAGTTTCTGTTTGATTTAAACGTTTAAAAAACGCACCTCTTTGTTAGTAAAGTAACATAAGTCATTTGCTTCTAGATTCGTGCTACTAAAATATTTAGATAATGCAGATTATACCCCATACGAAAAGATAGGAAATCAATGAAATGTCATTTAACATGACTATTTATTATAGTATTTAGTCGATATTATGTTGCTTTATTTACATATCAAAATTAGTATTCCGGTAATAATCAATAACTTATTAGTATTTATGACAGCTATAAACCTGTTGACTTTCGCCTGCGACTAAATTGTTCAATCATACATCTTGAACTTCAAACTTCATATCTTCCACGTGTTTCCAATAGATCTTTTGATACATAGCTGATAATAAATGCGCTTGTTTGGAATTCAACGTTTTTATGGTAATTTATTCAGTAACTATATTAACGCACACTCATCAATAGTAGTGCAAAGTAAAGATAGATTGATTATGATATTATCGTCATTCTTTTTATCGGATTCGCTAACCAATGAAAATATTCTACTCGTATTTACTATATGTCATCCATTGCACTTGTTGCAAATCTCACACTCCTGCATATATAACAGTATAAGTAATAGTCAACAATGTCATACGCATCTACTCACTCAAATGCACATTTGGTACAATAAATTTTATTCGTCTGGATAAAAGATTGAACTCCTCTAACTTTATTAATTATTCGAGATTATACACAATAATGTAAAGTGTTGACAACATGTCCAATTACTCATAAATCTATTACAAGTAATTAATATCTTATTATTTGATGATTTATTCTTCGAAGCAATTACTTTCAATTAAAGTCGTCAAGAAAAGTTCGACTCTAGTATGTATGTCGGTTTGGAATTTATGTCCATTCCGAATGGACATGTATGTCAGATTGGAATCATAAAGACAATCAAGTAACAACATTATAGAATTATTTTATTAACATTACAATATTAACTCTACTGCATATAAACATATTATGATGCAAAGAACGATGTACTAAGATTATGAGGGTGGCAGTTTAAGTTACAGCTTTGCGACAAGCACATCGAGCCGTTGAACAACTAGTCTTACAACTACAAGTTAGTAATTGTCTTTCTATTTGTAGACAAATACAATTGTGAGCAAACATCGTCTAATCTGACATATCATTGTGAAAGAATGCCTTCAGTTACAGAATACGTTAACGAATAGTCCAATACAATTGTGAATAAACATCGCCTGACATATCATTGTGAATATGCTTGAGTTACTGAAAACGTAGTGGGAAAGAACTGAAATACGAAAATATTAAAATGGCGTAATATACTTTGAGTTACAAATACGTTAGCAATTTTTTTGATTTGTGCGGAAATAGCGCGCGCCTGACGGGCATTACCATTGTGAAAGAATGCTTTGAGTTACTAAATACGTTACTAAAATTTGGATGATATTGAAGACTTAACCATCTCGGTTTAAGCTTAAGATGGTGCGACAACACACATCTACCTGCCAACTTGTCAACCAAATTTGGGCTAAAATACAGACTGGTCGTGTGAAAATTAACAACTCTGCGCTTCTGGTAGCTAATACCAACCCTTGTAGATGATTTGGCTTAAGCGATAAACAGAATGGTAGACCAGCAATGTACTGTTCATTATCGCCATTGTTACTATGCTTTATTGCTTGATGAGTTGAGTTATCAAACAAGTTTGTGCTAATTACACAATTTGACGACTGGTGTATGGTTTTTGACGAAGAATTCAACCATGCGGCTTGTTTCTTCTGTATGCGCACAATTTGTAAAAGCTGAGGAAAAGACCTTTACATTTTTTTCAAAATTTTAAACCCGAAATTTTTTCCGGATAACATAAGATCAGCACATTAAAGCAATCATAAACTGCGATAAAATATATGCTCGTTTCGAAGACAACACCAGAGGAAGAACATGTCTCCTCAGGATTCACAAGCTTAGGAAACGCTGAGTATAAGAACCAGAACCAATGCATCTTCCAAAGATCGTTAAGCAACCATTTCGAAGACAACACCAGAGGAAGAACATGTCCCCCCAGGATTCACAAGCTTAGGAAACGCCGGGTTTATAAAATAGCAGTAGAGAACCATACTTATCTTTGTGATTGAAAGTTCGTCAGTCGGTAAAAAAAACTTGCGTTTAGATCCGTGACAAAATATACCTGGTGACCTTTTACACAAAAGTCACACGTACTCGTGACGCAGTAGTGATGGTCCGATCCGTCATATTCGCAAAAGTATCGTTTTTGATAGATCGGCAGGTTGCGTTTTGATATATCCGCAGTAAAGTCACGTTTTCGCCGATAACCTGAGGTTTATCCGTTGCGGTATTAGCTAATTATGACTATATTCTAATCGATCCATGATGTCAGACGTATAACCATAATTCATCTTCGATATTCCCAAGACCTCTTTCTACGATTATACATAAGATGTACTATATATTATATGTTGATATAAATTTGCTTTCTTTATATATAATTAATGGATCTATTAGCTAGTAACAAACAATATCGTTAGCAGTCATAGTAGGTGTGGCTAATAAAGACTGTACATAACGTCGAATATAATGTCTTTCTACCTAATTATGTAAATAAGGCGTAACACATAATTTATTGTAGTGACGCGTAACGCGTAATATGAGTTAGTGATTATATAATATACGTACAACATAGTTTCCGTCCGCGTCTTTTCTCTAAAGACTTTCGTTGGTTAAAGATTAATTCGGTTTAATTTTGACTTCACTTCATCGCTTCGCTTGTTAAGAATGTCTTACGAAAATCAAATTATTTACAATAATGATAATACTGTTTCGGTTCCTTTTGGCCGAGCAGCCGAATGGTATATTGTAAACCATCCTCTTTTGAGAAATGCACGATTGAAGTTTCAAAGCCGTTTATATGTTAACACTTTAATCCGTGAGGGACTTATTAAATTACGTCGCGTTGAGGGAGCCACTGATTATATTGAATGGAAAACTTCAGGTATAAGAAAATCCACAAATAGAGTTGACGATATTATTGAACTTACAGAAAAAGGACGAAGTCGAGTAGACAACATTCGTATAGGAATAGAAAAAGATAAATTATGTTGGTACTGGGTAATGTATTGTACGGACGATGGAAATAGGTGCCAACACCTGTGGAGGGATTGGTACATATACTCAGTTTATATTTCAAATGGCACAACGTCTTAAAATGGTTTGCAAAAAAGTTATGTATAGCCAGGATGAAGAGTCTTGGGAATATCAAAGATGAATTATGGTTATACGTCTGACATCATGGATCGATTAGAATATAGTCATAATTAGCTAATACCGCAACGGATAAACCTCAGGTTATCGGCGAAAACGTGACTTTACTGCGGATATATCAAAAAACGCAACCTAAATTTGGGGTACTTGCCGATCTATCAAAAACGCAACCGCCGATCTATCAAAAACGATACTTTTGCAGTAGTTACACGGCGGGCGGATGTAATTTTGGCACAATCACGTGTGACGAAAAAACCGACGAATTTTTCAGAGATAGCTATAATAAATTAGAATATTATTCGTTTTTGAAAAAAATCATTTGGCGAAATTTCTGGCATAGTAAAAAATATATAAGTGGCTCGAATTCCATCATCATGCTTGATGTGTTTGTACTAGTACTGAAAGATGGATAAACTTTTATCCAATATATATTTAATAAACAACCTTTGAAATCGAATTACTTTCTTTTTCCTTTTTTCATCCTTGAAACATTATTATTCGACCGGATATACCCATTTAAGCTGTAAAATATCTGTTGATCAATTTGCGAATAGCGGAACGAGCGTCTATGAAATGACGTTTACTCGACTAGTCGCCCTGCTTAAATTAGAATCTTCTTCGCAACAATCACCGAATAAGGTGAGTTGAGGCTAAGTTAAAACATTCCCTCGCGGCGAACACGCTTAGCGAAAAATATCACCATTTCCCCACAATCCAGACTGCAGACGGCAATATTTTTGTAAAAGAAGTTTCTAAAGGAATAAAAGCGCTGATGCTATCCATATTACAGAATTTGTGAATTTTAAATATGACAACCATTTTACAATCACTGTGACATCAAAACACAGCATATTGACATTTTGCATGTAACGTATGAAAAGAACTTACTGGGTATTGGTAAAAAAAAAGGTATTACACTGATCTCTACAATAATGATTATAGCCATCGTAAGGTTACGTGGGGGGTTCAAAAAGTTTTGACACAGTGTACATATTTCAGCAACCACTGATCGTCTCAGCTTTATAAATATT